ATCCGTAGGGATCTTGTTCTGGGGTCGCGTTCTGTCCTCTCTGTACGTTCATTGGCCTCGCTCGTGGCTCTCAACCAATCAGAGATTGAGCCCTGCGTGGAGATATTTACGGTGACTTTGGTGACTTAATATGCGGAGGGTTCAGATATGTGAAGGAGACGGACAGTTTTTGTACTTCGTTATTTATGTTCTCCAGAACGACGCCAATGATTGTTTCGCGTTGTGGACAGCGCGCGGGTGGAGGTTTGGACGGTCGCCACTAACTCTGGTAACGTCAATCTTGATTTGAAGCTTTCGTGACTGCAGGAATCCATACTCTTTGGTTCTTTCGGTAAAGTCACGTAGGTATAATTTTTTTTATATCACGACAACATCTATAACCTCTTGTTGTTGTAACAGCTCTCTCGCTGTGTTTCTTCCTGGTTCAGCAGTTCCACTGCTCGATTATTTGTTTCCGCCTGAGGACGACCGCTTGCGTTGCGATCGAAACGTCGCGAGATATTATTTTTTTTACATTTTATTTTTCTACCTACGTGATTTTACCGAAATAACCGGAGAGCATGACGTCCAGAATACCAATCGCTTCGTTCGAGACCCGAACATCGCATCGCATGGCACCTCCTCCTGGCTTCGACGTTCCTCAAACACGCTGCGATGTAGATCGTCAACCGCGTCGACTACGCAACGCACTCGTCCGTGCCTCGCACGGTGGGGTTTTGACTCTCGACTCGGGGGCACCGTTCTGTGTAGAGTTTGTCCGTTCTCCACCCCCCCCCCCCTCCTCCCCTCTTCTGCATAGGTTCACTCCGCGTTATTCGCTTCTTCCCTTTAACTGGGAGTGCCGTTTCCCAGAGTGTGGAGAAAGTCAAATTTTTTTTATCTGCTATGAAGAAGGGTCATCGCCCGAAACGTCGTCTGTATATTTTCTGCCCTTTTAAAGCCACAGTGTTATTGACGCGGAACGTGTTGAGTGTTGTTTGTTGTTGTTGCTGTTGTTGTCTGCGCTCGGGCACCACTGCCATCGCCACAACAGCAGCAGCAGCAGCGGCATCGCCAGGTAACTTGTTCAAGTGTGTGGATTCGGGCCTTTTGAAGGCAGAATACTCAACCAGTGTCATTTGCAGCATCTCTGCGCGCGTGTCTGTGTGTGTGTCTGTGTGTGTGAGTGGGGAGCGGTGGTGTAGCGGTTAGCGCTACGCTACGAAACCCGGCGACCCGCGTTCGATTTCCGCTCACGGCACAACACCAACAGTGACTATTATCTGAACCGTTCCTGGACCTCCCCTAGGTCGACTCGGCCTCAAATGAGTACCTGGTGCGGTGTGTACATATCGCCACTGGGGAGACAAAGGCGTCCGGGCTTGGTGATGGCCACCCACTCCCTCGTGTGCCGTGCCGGCCTTTATAGATGCTGCTCGCTAACAGCGCTTGACCCAACAGTCTGTTCAGGCTACACGGGGGATCTCTGTCTTTGGGGGCTCCTGTAGAATCACAGCTGGAGTGTTCTACTCCACCAGTGCGTCAGCACGTCAGTGTAGAGACTGCTGGGTCGGCAAGACGAGTGCAGCGGTGGTGCAGCGGTTAGCGCGCTGCGTTACAAACCCCGTGTCCGGGTGACGATTGTCTGAGCCGGTCCCGGGCCTCCCCGAGGTCGACTCAGCCTCAAGCGAGTGCCGTGGGTGGACGTCACCACTGGGAATACAAAGGGGGCTGGCTACCGTGTAGCTGCTACACGTGTAGCAGCTGCACGTGTAGTAGCTACATAAGTAGCAGCTACAACACGTGTAGTAGCTACAACACGTGTAGTCGCTACACGTGTAATAGCTACATAAGTAGTAGCTACACGTGTAGTAGCTACATAAGTAGTAGCTACATAATTAGTAGCTACATAAGTTGTAGCTACTACTTATCTGGCTACTACTTATGTGGCTACTACACTTGCAGCTACTACTTATGTAGCTACTACTTATGTAGCTACATGTGTAGCTACTACTTATGTAGTTACTACTTATGTAGCTACTACTTATGTAGCTACATGTGTAGCTACTACTTATGTAGCTACACGTGTAGATACTACTTATGTAGCTACTACACGTGCAGCTACTACTTATGTAGCTACTACTTATGTAGCTACTACACGTGCAGCTACTACACGTGTAGCTACTACACGTGTAGCTACTACTTATGTAGCTACTACACGTGTAGCTACTACACGTGTAGTAGCTACTTTGGCTGCTAGGAGTACGCGAGGAAGACGCGCGAGGTGGGGCCAAGCGGGTTGGCACTCGGCTCACGGCCACGCGACGTGGCCTGGAGCCCGTGCCGCTCTGCGTGGTTGCGCCCCACGAGGGAAAACATCTCGCAGCAGCAGCAGCCGCAGCAGTGCGCACTGTGGCGGTGAACGCGAGACGGTCGTCACCGAACCAAGGGCTGTCACGAAGCGGTCCCTTAAGAGAGCCACGGCGCCGCACGTTGCCGAACCCTGCCCGTGGTAAACTGGATTTCCGTGGTGAACTAGACTCCCATGGGTGAACTGGACTCCCATGGTAACCTATACATCCATGGTGAACTGGACTTCCATGGTGAATTGGACTCCCATGGTGAACTGGACTTCTATGATGAACAGGACTCCCATGGTAACCTATACATCCATGGTGAACTGGACTTCCATGGTAAACTGGACTCCCATGGTGAACTGGACTCCCATGGTGAACTGGACTTCCATGGTGAACTGGACTCCCATGGTGAACTGGACTTCCATGGTAAAGTGGAATTCTATGCTGAACTGGACTTCCATGGTGAACTGGACTCCCATAGTGTACTGGACTCCCATGGTGAACTGGACTTCCATGGTGAACTGCACTCCCATGGTGAACTGGACTTCCATGGTAAAGTAGAATTCTATGGTGAACTGGACTCCCATGGTAACCTATACATCCATGGTGAACTGGACTTCCATGGTAAACTGGACTCCCATGGTGAACTGGAGTTCCATGATGAACTGGACTCCCATGGTGAACTGGACTTCCATGGTAAAGTAGAATTCTATGGTGAACTGGACTTCTATGGTGAACTGGACTCCCATAGTGACCTGGACTTCCGTGGTAAACTGAAACTCCCATGGTGAATTGGACTACCATGGTGAACTGGACTTCCATGGTCAAGAGTCAGCAACCAAAATAATAAGAGGATCCATTTTTTTCCCTCCAGAAATAAAAAAAACCCTCAACATTTCAAGAGCCGCGATGCAGTTTGCTGACGGAGCCCTTTAGCCCTGCACCAAGCCGCCGTGTGGAATTCCGTCGCATCCGTGCACCTTGGGAGGCCCTGGCCACCCGCCGGGCCCTCTGCTCGTGCTACTCGCGTTCGCACCGACTTGCACTTTTAACTTTACGAATGCACACAGCGGACAATGAATAACTGTTTTATTATTATTAAAAACAAAATTCCGGCTCGTAAATAAAATACAAAGAGCAGAACGACGGTAGGGGCACGGCGTTCAGTCGATAGGTTGGGTCTGGTTGGGTCTGGTTGGGGCGGGCGGGGGGGGTGATCGACACGCAAAGTGTTGGGAAGCGCTGCTGCTCCATATAAAGTTCAGAAATGTGTTTCGCGTTCAGCGGAGATTCTCCGAGACGAGCAGACAACACCGCGGTGTCATTCGGCCACGTTGTCCGTCCAGAGCAGGGGTGGGCAAATGTTTTGACTTGCGGGCCACAATGGGTTCTAAAATTTGACAAGAGGGGCCGGGCCAGGAACAGGTGGATGGAGTGTTTGTGTGAACTAATATAAATTACATGTAAAAATCATTACATTAAAGGATTTGGCCTTGAACAGGTAGTAAAGCATTTATTTTGCAAGGCATTTTAACAAATTGCACGAACATGAACAATACAAAAACATGTCGTAACGTGACTGATCAAACATCATGAAAACATCTGAGGTCTGCGCCCAAACCAATGACCTCACTTGAACGTCTTTATTATCTACATTAACAGGTTAGATCAGCCACGCAGGCTGTCTGTGTCGGAGATTTGGCTCCAACCTCGCTGCAGCAACACATCATCACTTTCACTCCCGGTCAAAGTGCGCCATCTAATGGGGAAATGGGGGCATTACAGGAGAGAGGTAAAATGTAATTCAATAATAATAATATTTGGACAAGTTCGGCGGGCCGAAATTAAAAAGCCCAACGGGCCGTACACGGCCCGGGGGCCGTACTTTGCCCATGTCTGGTCCAGAGGATAAACATCACAGAGGGGCCACTGGCTTTGGTATCGGCAGAGCCAGACCGAGGGGCGTGCAGGGCCCGGGGGAAAATCCTTCAAGGCTAAAGAGGAAGTATTACATCTGGCACCGTGACGCCGAAGCACGGGGGGGGAGGGTGGGGGGCACTAAAGCGCGGGGCCTGGGGCGGTCGCCCTGATTCGCCGTGACCCCTAGGGACGCTCTGGGTATTGGTGTCGAAATGTTAACTACCTCGCCTGGTACGCAGGAGGCCGTGGTTTCGATCCCGACCCCTGCTGTATATTTCGAGTTTGCGGTGTCTCTCTCTCTCATCATCATCATAACGGTGGCTATGAGATGTTAACTACCTCGCCTGATATGCAGGAGGTCGTGGGTTTGATATCGACCCTGATGCCAACTGCTGTATATTTGGAGTTTGCGTGTCTCTCTCTCATCATCACCACGGTGGCTAGGAGATGTTAACTATCTCGCCGGGTGTGCAGGAGGTCGTGGGTTTGATACCGACTCTGATGCCAACTGCTGTATATTTGGAGTTTGCGTGTCTCTCTCTCATCATCACCACGGTGGCTAGGAGATGTTAACTACCTCGCCGGGTATGCAGGAGGTCGTGGGTTTGATACCGACTCTGACGCCTGCTGCTGTATATTCGGAGTTTGCGTGTCTCTCCCCGTGGTCGTGTGGATTTTTCTCCGGGTCCTCCGGTTTTTCCCTCCACATTTAGAAACGTGCGTTTACAGTATTTGGTTGCTATACATTTCCACACGATAAGCCATTTTGTTGAGCTATCATTTGTGGCCAGGTCGCTTCTGAAATAGAGCTGCTCAGCTCAGTGGGCCTTACCTGGTAAAATAATACAAAAATATTTTAATAGTTTAAGTGCCCCCAATAGTCCCCCACACTCCGAAAAGGAGACCCTAAACGTGCCAGCCTTGAGCCTGGCCCGAATGGCATTACACTCGGAAATCATCGCCTTCCCTGCCTCCCATCTATGGGGAGGATTGAACCACGTTTTGTAGGCCAGGAGCCCAGTCAACTCGTGCCACTGGGGGAACGGTGGCGTTTGAAATGTGTCGAGATGAGACGCTACGTGAAGCGCTTCCGAGAGACACCAGGGCAACGGAATAGGGGCGGCTCTGTCTGACGCGAATCACGATCCTGATGGGTGCTCCTTGCCGATGGCTAAGGTCAAGGCCCCACCATCGTCAATGTCAACGCGCGTGGCAATATTCGCTTTTTAGCGTCTGTTGAGAGGGTGGACGGGGCCCGACCGGGCGGCGACATCGTACAAGTCGTTGAAGGACTTTCTCCGCAAGCTCCGACGGCTCCCCTTGTCCGTGATTTTCTGAAATAAAAAAGTAATATTGAAAAAAAACTTTATTTTACAAACACGCTTTTATGAAATGTACTAGTAATGGAAGAACTCCACGAGTCCAGGAAGTGGCCCCGAATCTTGCCATGACGTAAGGGGACCGTGGCTGAATACAGCCAACGTCAGTTAACCGTGGACAATTAAGACCCAAACCGAAACATAACATATAAAAAATAATGTTTAAAAAAATATATTTAAGATACAATATAGTATTGTCATCAGTGGGTTAAAATTGAGTTACAAGATTTGAGGATACTACAACAACAGACAGAGCGAGTTAAATGAAAGCGTGTAAGAAGACACGGGCGGAGGAGTCACAAACGCCACCAATGCGATCGCCGCCGTCGTGATTTCACGCACCGCTCTGGTCTGGAGAAGGGCCAACGCACGAAACGTCACCCGTTATAGACGATTAATTTTAAGACCACGAAGACAAAGATCCCTGGTATAGCCTTAGACTGTGCGGGGCAAGTGCTGTTCGCGAAGCACCTACGGAGTCTGGCACAGCACACGAGGGGGTGGGTGGCCAGCACCACGCCCGGCCACCTTGGGCCCCCAAGCGGCGATGTTTTACACACCGCACCAGGTACTCATTTTGAGGCTGAGTCGACCTAGGGGAGGCCAAGGACCCATTCAAATATTAATCACTGCTATGATGGTCGTGAGTGGGAATCGAACTTGGGTCGCCGGGTTCATAGCCACGGCTCCCATAAGACAAAGATGCCCCGTATAGCTTTTTAACAGACTGGTATGGCAAGTGCTGTTCGCGAGCAGCACCTATGAAGTCTGGCACGGCGCACAAGGGGTGGGTGGCCAACACCACGCCCGGCCACCTTTGCCTCCGCAGTGGTGACGTCTACCCACACTCTTTGATTCTCTTGGGTAAAGTCACGTGGGTATAAAATAAAACAAGTCACGACGTTTCGGGCGCAACGCAAGCGTCCGTCATCAGGTGGGAACAACCACAGCAAGAAAACAAATTGCTGAAGTGGGCAAAAGGGCTGCCGTGACAAGAGGCTATAGAGGCAAGAGAGGGGGGGGGGGGCAGGGAGGAGAGACAGAGAGGGGGGTGGGGGGTAGGGGGAGTGGAGCGCTGCCGAGTGCAGAGCAGCTGGAAGGGATTACAGGGCGAGCAGAGCCACGTGACTTTACCGAAAGAACCAAAGCGAATGGATCCCTTGCAGTCACGCAAACTTCAAATCAAGATTGACCTCTACACCCACCGCACTCGTCACTGGTGTAGGCCATTAGCGGGAATCGAACTCGGGAGACCCCGACCTGCACTGCCGCTCCCCGTAATTTAAAGACCACGCGCACACACACACGCGCACACGGTGCGAGCGATGAATGTGTTAGCTTGTTATTTGTGCTGTTGCGCCGCTGCCCAACGCAGCGAGGTCAGCTGCCTGACATGGAGGCCTCGTGCCCTCTGCTGGCCGTTTGCGCCGTGCTGCACGCAACGAGACCGCGGTGTTCATGGAGGGCTCTTCTCGTCTGAAGCGGCAGGCAGCCCGCCAAGGCATTTGCCTAACAGTGCCCATGCGAATCAGAGGAGGCGAAAACGGGTGCAGAGTGTTCCTCATTCTCCATAAACGACTGCTGCTGGAAGAAAAAAAAACATTCGTCCAGAGGTCCCATTTGATTCATGGGCGTAAAAATGTGCACTTTAGCTTCCAATAGCAATTAAACATCCGGTATCATCGTGCCATCGTTCCTACGGCGCGAGGCTATCGCAAACGTTTCGCAGCTAGGGCCTGCAGCAGCTTCAGCAGCAGGGGGGGCCGCGTTGCTGTGCGTCATCCCAATCGAGTATTTTCCAGGTGACACTGCACTCAGCCCTGTCGAATTCCCTCAATGATGCCGGTGGAGAGCAAATGTCACGGTGCCCCTGTTCGAACGACGTCACAGTATCGCGAGCGTGAAGGCGCGAAGCGGGCGGCGCCTGTTTTGTTTGCGCTAAACAACTTCTGTGGCCTGCCGAGTTCGAACCGCCGCTGATCGGCGCCACCGCCCCGATTCACCGCCGATGAGCACGGTCGGCTACGCGCGGTGCGAGAAAAGTTCAACGTACACACTGCCCATAGACTCAACACTGCCCATAGACTCAACACTACCCATAGACTCAACACTACCCATAGACTCAACACTACCCATAGACTCAACACTACCCATAGACTCAACACTACCCATAGACTCAACACTACCCATAGACTCAACACTGCCCATAGACTCACACTGCCTATAGACTCAACACTACCCATAGACTCAACACTACCCATAGACTCAACACTACCCATAGACTCAACACTACCCATAGACTCAACACTACCCATAGACTCAACACTGCCCATAGACTCACACTGCCTATAGACTCAACACTACCCATAGACTCAACACTGCCCATAGACTCAACACTGCCCATAGACTCAACACTACCCATAGATTCAACACTACCCATAGACTAACACTACCCATAGACTCAACACTACCCATAGACTCAACACTGCCCATAGACTCAACACTGCCCATAGACTCAACACTGCCCATAGACTCAACACTGCCCATAGACTCAACACTGCCCATAGACTCAACACTGCCCATAGACTCAACACTGCCCATAGACTCAACACTACCCATAGACTCAACACTACCCATAGACTAACACTACCCATAGACTAACACTACCCATAGACTCAACACTGCCCATAGACTCAACACTGCCCATAGACTCAACACTGCCCATAGACTCAACACTGCCCATAGACTCAACACTGCCCATAGACTCAACACTGCCCATAGACTCAACACTGCCCATAGACTCAACACTACCCATAGACTCAACACTGCCCATAGACTCACACTGCCCATAAACTAACCGTTTCAATGCCTTCCTGCTGCGGTCCGGCCAAGGGGACCCCCTGGCGGCAGCTGTTCCTGCGCGGCACAAGCTGAACACAAGTGCCGGCCTGCGAGTGGCCATCAGCTTTGCCCCGCGGAATTCTGTGTGCAGCTGGCGCTGGCAAAACTGGCCAAAGCCCAACGCTTGGCTCATGCAGGGGAGGGCGTGGAGGGGTCGCGGGGGTGGGGGAGAAGCGAGTGAAGTCTCCACGCACCTTGAAGTCTCCGCGGAACGTGGCGAGGCTAGAGAGGAGCGGCTTGAGCATCTTATCCTTCAGGCTGAACTTCACCCTCAGCCTCTCCCACTCGGCCCCGATCTCGCCCTCGCCCTTCTCCAGCAGCTCCACCTTCCGCATCCACTCCTGAAGCAGCGGGTGCCACGGGGTCAAGGGTCACGTGGGGTCAACGAGCGGCAACGTGCGCGGGGGACACCTCCGTCGACGGTTAAACGGTCACGCGTGGCACCGGCCCAGCAGAGGGCTTGCAAACATTCGTAAACAAACATCGTGAACAGAGTGTGGTGTGTGTGTGTGTGTGAGACCCATTCTGTGAACACATCGCGGGCATAAGAATCGACTTGGATCAATCAATCGCTGCTTGCCCTGAAAGTGCTGAGGCTCCAACAGCTCCATGCCGCGCACCTCCGATTAGCACGGTTGGCTACGTATGGTGCGAAAGAAGTTCAACATACATACTGCACACTGGAACTTCCAAGGATATCTAATGTTACACCACCCGAACCAATCCGCTGAGAAGGATATTTTCATCGTTTTGGAGAACGGTCCGTGGGGCTCGGTGTCCGGTAATGAGTTGAGGTCGCATTCCAGTTTCGTGATTTCCGCCCGGAGAGACTGGATCATCGATTTCCGATTCTCGTCGTCGACTGCAAAAAAGAAGACGGCATCATCGCAACGTAGTCAAAACTTCCGTTTACCGCCTTCCCCCCCGCGGGACGGACGAACACCGAGACCCCTGCAACCCCCGCTCGACGCCGGGTGGCGCGACCAAGCTCTCGCGGTGAAACGAAAAGCGAAACGTTCGACGCTGAATACTCTCGGGAGCGAGCGGGCGTCACAGCGATGGCTCAACAGGCGAGTTGGCTTGTGAACCAGAGACGTACAAGACCGAGAGGTTCATGGATTGGTGGGAGAGTGAGACGGTGGGCCAGAGATCTAGACGATTAGCAAAGCATTGGGCGAGTCCTCGGCTGGTGTGGCGTCGTGCAGGTAGGCCCGTCGGGTACCTCCTGTGGCTTTGTCAACAGGCTCGAGCTCCGTGATGACGTTGAGGATGTCGGGGTGGGATTTCTGGCATTCTCTGACCACCAGGTCCAGGAGGGTGCCGCTCTCAGCGGGATCCGTCATCCTCACGGAGTTGACCTGTTGGGGCGATACCACCGGCAAGTTAGCACCTGCTCCAATTCACAATCTCAATCTATACGTACACACTATACGTTCGTGTGCATACTGTATACGTAGCGACGTCTGAAACAAAAAAAATTGCGGCTCAGGATGCTTTACAAGAATTAGAGATGTAAAAAAAACCTACATTTTGGGGCAGAAGGCAAACGTGGCGCAGGTAACGAAGACCGGGGAGTGGGACTATGACACTGAACGTAGTTTAACACGTAGGCTGTCGCAACCAATATTATCCATAAGAGGTTTTCTTGGGTTAGATCGCATAAATATTAATGCCTCGTTAAACCCTCCACCACCTGACACAACCAATTAGTAAGGTTTAGCACGTAAACAAAACACTCGTAACGAATTGGCACGTTTTGTTTACGTGAGAAACCTTACTAATTGGCTGTGTCGGGTGTTGACGGGTTAACAACACTTATATTTACGCTATCTAACCCAAAACAACTCTATTATGGACATGGAACGCGTTCATGGGGCATTGTTTAAAGCTCCGTGGCCTGCTATCAAGTTAACCTTGTTTGTTGTTGTTGTTGACCCTATGACATCGTTCACATTGAGAACGCCACCGTTCGGTCGTCTTTACGGTTCAGATCACGAGCATGTAATAATAATAATTTAAATTCATTAAGTGCCCTTCAACAATTGTTCTCGGGGCGCGATGCATGGAAAGGCGGAAAATAGTTTAACATCATCCGAGGGAAGAAGAGACTTGAGAAAGACGTTTTGAAAATAACTAAAGAGAGAAAGCCATTTTAAACAGATTCGTTTTCAAAGGCGCCGTCACCCCCAAGTGTGAAGCCTGGAGATCCGTGGTGACAGTGAGCAACGCACAATCCGACGATCTTAATGATCATGATGGAATAATATGACTGAAGAAGGTCACGAATGTAGGTCCATTTAAGGCCTTGAATATACGTATGAGTTTACAACGTTGGTTACCGTCGACAAGATGATTATTATATAAATAGGCAGACAATACAGCCTCCTTCCCATAGGTGTGCAAAAACATCCTTTAGGTTTTGTTTTTGTGTGTGTGGAGAGACAGACATGGCAAGGAGGCGTATTGTATGCCTCGTTAGATTGTAACTGAATGAGCCTCATTGATTTTGTCCAAAGGAGAGAACCAATTTAAGAATCAGTTGAAGAGGACCGTCAACAGCAGCAGTATCCGTAAATCAATCCACTGCTGGATGAAGCCGTCCTATGCCTAATCCTCATTGGCTGCCACTCTGTTTTGTTATTGGTCCCGGCCGGTGTTAAAGGGGCAGTTGGTGAAACCAACTTGAATCACGTGACTGCCAACAGCACCCGCAACCTGACGTCAAACGGGACCCGAATTCCACGACGGTGTAGAGGTTCTGTGATATCCACTTTCTGCGGCCCGTTTTCCAACAAACGCTGCAGTTGGGCGGTTGAAACATGGATTTGAACCCAGGGTCTCGGCGGTGCCGGCTCAGCATCTCTGCTATTTAAAAATAAATATGTTATGTTTGAGATATACCAAGTGTTGTGCATTCATTGCAAAGTGTTCTGAAACTCCGCCAACCCCAAACCTCCCACCCCCGCCCCCCGCGTGGGACCTTGTCGATGTCGCAGAGGTTGATTCCGTAGGCGGGCGCCGAAGTGGGGCCCTCATTCAGGAAGTTGATGATGAAGAGGAGCAGCTGGGCCAGCTGGGCCAGGCCTTGGCTGGAGACGACCGCCCTCAGGGCCGCGAGCACGACCTCCTGCTCCTTCCGAGCCTGGTCGAGCACCTCGGCGCGGGTGAAGTGGAAGAGCAGGCAGCGCAGGCGCTCCGACAGGTAGCCCTCGTCCACGAGCTGAGGTCACACGGCCACAGGGTCACGGGCAGCACAGCCACGGGGTCACAGAGACACGCGTGGCACAACCACGGGGTCACAGAGACACGCAGGACAACCACAGACACGCACACCACCACGAGGTCACACACACGTGCAGCTCAGCACCCAGGCTTCTCAGGACCATGAGCCCCAGTGCAGTTGCACCGCCTGCGCACTCTCCTGCTACGCCACTGACTCGTCGCTTCTAAACTGGGCTCGGCGAAGAATCGCCGTGTCGCTGCGTAGATATTTACTTTGGGTGTTAGCGGCTGGGCCTCTAGGCTTGCCCAGATGCCCGTCGATCGGTTGAGTGGCCGCACTCGGCCGTTTCTCTACGGCGAGAGTGATAACATCTGACGATGTGGAGGTGGCACTGGGTGGCTTGGAGGTCAGAGACACTGAATCAGCACCAATGAAAAGCTGGGTTAAAATCCAGGTTTCAATCGCCTGTCATTAAACCAGATTCTCAAGTGTCGTGAGTTGATGGTCTCAGCCCGGTCACCAAATTCCAGCTCTGGACAATGATACATTAAGTTGACCGCCTTGCAGTGAACAATCACTCTCGTCCGGCGGCGTCGCTTTGGAATGCGCTGCCCTCTGCTATGTGGACCAGAGGGCAACTTAAAGAGAAGGGGTCTCAGAGGTAGCTCTGTGATATCCGCTTCCCGTGCGCTTTGTTCCCTGTGACGCCGCACAGGGTCACGCCGCTCTGCGCGTGTGTTACGAGAAGGATGCTTCCGTGTCGTGATAACGCGAAGCCGCTGGCGCAATCGCGATGAACTTGGGGGGAATTACCGAAAAACTATAAACATGCTGGTCTGTTGTGTTTGTTTTGTCCTTTAGCTGTGCAGGGAATTCTGGGTAAGGGGTGGGCGAGGGCTACCCGCAAATAGAAGAACTCCATCTTCTGCAGTGGAGCTCCGCTGCCCCGCTTCTCGTTCAGCGCCTTCTTCTGCTCCTCTCTTACCCTCTGCAACGTCAGTATCAGGTCCTGCGAGAGCCCAAAGCGACGCGCGCCATCATCACTCGTGCCACGCACGCCATTACGTCGACACGGAAGGCCACACCAGCACGTGAGCCAGACCAACACGTGGGCCACACCAACAGATGAGGTCACACTAGCACAACGACCACACCAGCTCATGTGACTACACCAGCTCACTCAGGATGTATACGTATGTTGAACTTATTTTGCACCGTACGTAGCCAACTGTGCTAATCGGAGCTGCGGCGGATGGACAACAAACTAAACGCAGAAAGCAGTTCTAAAGAAGTGAGTTTTCAACGTAGATTTAAAAGTGCGTAGCTCGAGTGGCTTCGTAATATCCGAAGGAAGAGCGTTCCAGACGGCCAGAGACCAAGCGGGTCAAACTGGCTCATATGATGCATCAGCACTCGTGGCAGACAGACCACACCGGCTCACCACCACCACCACCACCACTCCGTTCACCTTGAGGCTTACAATCAGCACTCGTGGCAGACAGACCACACCGGCTCACCACCACCACCACCACCGCCGCTCCGCTCACCTTGAGGCTTACAATCCCGGAGAGGAAGGCTATGTCACCCGTCAGGATGGCTTTTATTAAGTCGTTGTCCGACACCTTCGCCGATTTTCTCAAGATTTCTGTGTGTATGGTGGTTCCGGGGCAGGGGGGGGGGGTGGGAGATAGGGGGGGTCAGGTTAAAAGGCCTCAATGAATCTCAACACTCTTTGTCAGTATAATAATAGGGTTTTTCCTCTTTTTTTCTGGCAACAAAACTGAAACCTTTTTACAAGGATTCATGTCTGCATTAACCACAATACCTGCAGTCAAAATGCAAACAAAAAACATACTATATATCCTTAGTTCTTTTGGTAAAGTCACGTTGTTTCCCTTCAACGTGACTTTACCGAAAGAACTAAGAATATGAATTACTGCAGTCACGAAAGCTTTAAAAAAAAACATACTATGATAATATATGCATTGTCCTTGAAACTGATTGGTCCACACCCTTAGTGCTGGCAAAGGAGGTCTAATGATGTAGATACTCTTTGTCAGGTTAAGTCTGGCAAAAAATGTTTGGCACTTTCACCTACATTCTGTTAAAGCTTCACGAGAGAATCCTTGTATAGGAGATCATTCCATTGGGTTGAATTGTCATATAATTGGGGCTGTTTGGCCGATTACATTCATGTTTGGTTTCGCCGGGGAGACCGGAGCACCCAAGAAAACACACATCAACTCAAACCATTTCCTGGGTAAACTAATCTGGCATGGTGACTTACTGTAAGCTATTGTTCATGCAGTCATACACAAGAGAGAGAGAGAGAGTTGTGGGGTTATGGGTTTGTGGGTGGCAGGGAGGTTGGCACATTAGTAACACGTGTGCCTCGCAGTAAAAATCGCCTGGGTTCGATTCCCATCTCAGGCAACTCTCTGTACGGAGTTGGTATTCTCTCCCCCTGTACTGCAAATGGGTTTCCTCCCATAGCAACCCCCCCCCTCCCACAAAACCAGATCCCCAGTCAGTTGAGGTGGTTCGGGCACCTTGTAAGGATGCCCCCCGATAGACCCCCCCCCCCCCCCCCCCCCGTGAAACTCTACCGGGCAAGTCCCAGTGGGCGAAGACCCCGGGGCCAGCCCAGGACACGCTGCTGGGACGATGTCGCTCGGCTGGCCTGGGAACGCCTGGGAATTCCCCATGAAGAGTCCGAGTCTTTAGGCAGGTAAAGGGAGGTCTGGACCGCCCTACTCAACACGCTGCCGCCGCGACCCTCATCAGGACAAGCGAATTGATAAACGAACCAACGAAGAGATCCCCAATGTTGAAAAAGCAAACGACTAAATTGGGATGATAAACACAGAGCGCGCGACATCACCCCTTCATGTTTACGCATTTGCGGGCCCCTTTCCTGAAAGCGAATCCCGATTCTCAGTGTGGCTTTTTCCTGGGCAAGACACGAAGCGGAAACAGTAATAACAGCTGCTCCTCTCACCGAGATTTTGTAAGAATCCTGCGCTGAAGACGGATCCCTCGCTGGGGCTTCCGGATGGAGATGGCAGTGGCGAAGATCCACCTGACGATGGCTGGTATATGGCCAGCCCCAGGGATGTCTTGGCTGCAACAACAGCAGTGGAGGCACCGTTGACCTCGCGATTCCACGACACCATGAACCCGCGAGAAATTGCCCCGTGCCAATGCGAGCACATTCGCGCTCGGAAAACCGTGACCGCGAGATCCCATGAACGGGTGACACAATGACCTCGTGACACCGTTAACTGGTGACCTTGTGACCCCTTGACTTCGCATCAACGGCTCTGACCTGCAAAGGTCCGCAGGAGCCGGTCCTTGAGGTCGGAGTTTTCGAATTTTTTCTCGTTCGCACTGCTCCATAGGCTGTCCTTCTCTATGTCACTCGGTGCAATCTGCATCAACACACACACACAGCAATATATTAACACACACAGCGATACATAGACACACCATCAACACACACACAGCAATATATTAACACACAAATACACTGATATTTAGACACACACAGCGATGCATAGACACACCATCAACACACACACACAGCAATATATTAACACACACAGCGATACATAGACACACACCGATACATCAACACACACACAGCAATATATTAACACACACAGCGATACATAGACACACCATCAACACACACACAGCAATATATTAACACACACAAATGCATCAACACACACACAGCAATATATTAACACACACACACACTGATATTTAGACACACACAGCGATGCATAGACACACCATCAACACACACACACAGCAATATATTAACACACACAGCGATACATAGACACACACCGATACATCAACACACACACAGCAATATATTAACACACACAGCGATACATAGACACACCATCAACACACACACAGCAATATATTAACACACACAAATACATCAACACACACACAGCAATATATTAACACACACAAATACATCAACACACACACAGCAATATATTAACACACACACACACACTGATATTTAGACACACACACAGCGATACATAGACACACCATCAACACACACACACAGCAATATATTAACACACAGCGATACATAGACACACCGATACATCAACACACACACAGCAATATATTAACACACACAGCGATATATATAGACACACCATCAACACACACACAGCAATATATTAACACACACAAATACATAAACACACACACAGCAATATATTAACATACACAAATACATCAACACACACACAGCAATATATTAACGCACACACTGATATTTAGACACACAACGATACATAGACACACCATCAACACACACACACAGCAATATATTAACACACACAGCGATACATAGACACACCGATACATCAACACACACACAGCAATATATTAACACACACAGCGATATATAGACACACCATCAACACACACACACAGCAATATATTAACACACACAAATAAATCAACACACACACAGCAATATATTAACACACACAAATACATCAACACATACACAGCAATATATTAACGCACACACACACACTGATATTTAGACACACACACAGCGATACATAGACACACCATCAACACACACACACACAGCAATATATTAACACACACAGCGATACATAGACACACACCGATACATCAACACACACACAGCAATATATTAACACACACAGCGATACATAGACACACCATCAACACACACACAGCGATATATGAACACACACAAATACATCAACACACACACAGCAATATATTAACGCACACACACACTGATATTTAGACACACACACAGCGATACATAGACACACCATCAACACACACACACAGCAATATATTAACACACACAGCGATACATAGACACACACCGATACATCAACACACACACAGCAATATATTAACACACACAGCGATATATAGACACACCATCAACACACACACAGCAATATATTAACACACACAAATACATCAACACACACACAACAATATATTAACACACACAAATACATCAACACACACACAGCAATATATTAACACACACACTGATATTTAGACACACACACAGCGATACATAGACACACCATCAACACACACACAGCAATATATTAACACACACAAATACATAAACACACACACAGCAATATATTAACATACACAAATACATCAACACACACACAGCAATATATTAACGCACACACTGATATTTAGACACACACACAACGATACATAGACACACCATCAACACACACACCCACAGCAATATATTAACACACACAGCGATACATAGACACACCGATACATCAACACACACACAGCAATATATTAACACACACAGCGATATATAGACACACCATCAACACACACACACAGCAATATATTAACACACACAAATAAATCAACACACACAGCAATATATTAACACACACAAATACATCAACACACACACAGCAATATATTAACGCACACACACACACTGATATTTAGACACACACAGCGATACATAGACACACCATCAACACACACACACACAGCAATATATTAACACACACAGCGATACATAGACACACACCGATACATCAACACACACACAGCAATATATTAACACACACAGCGATACATAGACACACCATCAACACACACACAGCGATATATGAACACACACAAATACATCAACACACACACAACAATATATTAACACACACAAATACATCAACACACACACAGCAATATATTAACACACACACTGATATTTAGACACACACACAGCGATACATAGACACACCATCAACACACACACACAGCAATATATTAACACACACAAATACATAAACACACACACACAGCAATATATTAACATACACAAATACATCAACACACACACAGCAATATATTAACGCACACACTGATATTTAGACACACACACAACGATACATAGACACACCATCAACACACACACCCACAGCAATATATTAACACACACAGCGATACATAGACACACCGATACATCAACACACACACAGCAATATATTAACACACACAGCGATATATAGACACACCATCAACACACACACACAGCAATATATTAACACACACAAATAAATCAACACACACAGCAATATATTAACACACACAAATACATCAACACACACACAGCAATATATTAACGCACACACACACACTGATATTTAGACACACACACAGCGATACATAGACACACCATCAACACACACACACACACAGCAATATATTAACACACACAGCGATACATAGACACACACCGATACATCAACACACACACAGCAATATATTAACACACACACAGCGATACATAGACACACCATCAACACACACACAGCGATATATGAACACACACAAATACATCAACACACACACAGCAATATATTAACGCACACACACACTGATATTTAGACACACACACAGCGATACATAGACACACCATCAACACACACACACACAGCAATATATTAACACACACAGCGATACATAGACACACACCGATACATCAACACACACACAGCAATATATTAACACACACAGCGATATATAGACACACCATCAACACACACACAGCAATATATTAACACACACAAATACATCAACACACACACAACAATATATTAACACACACAAATACATCAACACACACACACAGCAATATATACACACACACACTGATATATAGACACACACACACACACACACCGATACATCAACACACACAGAGCAATATATTAACACACACACACACACTGATACATCAACACACACACACAGCAATATATTAACACACATATTTATATATAGACACACACACAGCGATATATTAACACACACACACTGATATATAGACACACACACACCGATACATCAACACACACAGCAATATATTAACACACACACACTGATACATCAACACACACACAGCAATATATTAGCACACACACACACACACTGATATATAGACACACACAGCGATATATTAACACACACACACTGATATATAGACACACACACACCGATGCATCAACACACACACACACCGATACATCAACACACACACACACACTGATACAGAGACACACAGATTCATACTGGTAGGAACCTCCTGGTTACACCACCAGCCCATAGGGGATTATTGTGTCCGTCCGTCCGTCGTGCATCCAAAAATGGGAGGGGTGGGGCTGGGTGGAGAGGGGAGGGTGGGGAGGGGCTGGGTGGGGAGGGAGGGGCTGGGTGGGGGGTGGGAGGGGTGGGGAGGGGCTGGGTGGGGAGGGTGGGGAGGGGCTGGGTGGGGGGTGGGAGGGGTGGGGCTGGGTGGGGAGGGGCTGGGTGGGGAGGGTGGAGAGGGGCTGGGTGGGGAGGGAGGGGCTGGGTGGGGGGTGGGAGGGGTAAATCTGGGTGGGGAGGGGCTGGTCACCCCGTGGTGCCCTTATACAACTCAACGTTTAACCTCCTCACGCCGGGCTTGTGCCCGCCCTCACAGTCGGGCATATTTGCGGAATACACCACGTGGTGCCGCCGTTGTTGACCCTGGCCATTGACCGGGCAACCCAACGTTCCTACCAGCTCCCTCTGCAGCAATGTGTAACACACAAACACTGATGCATGAACACACAAGCTCCAACACGTAAAAACGCGAACACACAAATACACATGACTGAACGCCAAAGCATGACTGAATAACCGCATGAATGACAGACTGACTGAATGAATCGCCGAATAACTGAGTAATCGGATAACTGAGCGGACGAGTGAATGATCCCACACGTCGCGGAACCCACCGTCTTGCACCTCACTCGCTCTGTCGCCCCCTTCTTGTTGTACGCCTTCTTTTCCAGGAGCCATGGGGGCCTCACGGGCGTCGGTGCCGTCCCAGGTATGAGGGCCGGCGGTGGCGGCGGCGGCGGCGGCGGCGGCGGGGCCCCCACGGAGGGGTCTTGAGGGGTCAGGTCGTAGATTCCCAACGAGGAGCGCTGCCTGCTGTCAGGCTGCTGCACGATGACCGCGGGAATCTCTTCCTGACTGGGGGGTCCTGGCCGCACGGAGGCCTCGACTGGGAGGCCGGGGAGATTCGTATCCCGGGGCTCAGGTGCTGGGAAGGCCTCGGCTTGGAGGCCGGGGAGATTCGTGCCACGGGGCTCAGGGGCTGGGAAGGCCTCGACTGGGAGGCCGGGGAGATTCGTGCCACGGGGCTCAGGGGCTGGGAAGGCCTCGGCTTGGAGGCCGGGGAGATTCGTGCCTCGGGGCTCAGGGGCTGGGAAGGCCTCGACTGGGTGGCCGGGGAGATTCGTGCCATGGGGCTCAGGGTTTGGGTGCTCGTTGGGGGCCCCACCAGGTGTTTGACGAGGTCGACCTTGTTCCTGGAGGGCAGGGGAGGGGAGGGAGAAGTCACCAATGTCGTAATCGTTAATACGTTCTTACGAGGAATGTTGGAATGTTTGACGAGGCGAATACAACATAAATAGAATGTAATTTTTCACGTGTGTCAAAACTACGTGGGCAAATATTGCGCTGACGATGAAAGTTTTCTGCAGCCTGAGGGGGGGGGGGGGGGGGGGAAGAGAGCGAAACGTCTTGCCGCTCTTCTGATGTGCAGTTGTGCAAGGGGCGTCGGTGTCATCCCTGATCACGAGATAAGTCTCTTTCCGTTTAATGGCAAAGCATTTTTTCGTCAGATCCCTGGAACTAAGCTGCGTTTGAGCCTGCTTAGCGCTCGGTTGGGATGACCACTTTGCATAACAGCAACCCCTTATCATTGCCCTACCTTATTACAGACCAATTCAGACCTTACTGGTCACCCCATGCCCCTTATAAATCTCAAAGTTCATCCTACACAAGGTCCCATCACAAGGGAGAAACACAAATAAATAGACACATTTATTTTTGCCTGTCTGTCTGTCTGTACGCCGTATGGAACTGAAAACTCAATTTCCCTGTACAATAATACAGGTAAACCGTATGGGTTGACAGGTGTGGCATAACAATACACACTCCTCACTAACGCTGTGTGGCTTTAAAAAAAAAACACAGTATATAATGTGTTGAGTTTGGTTGTTATTATTTGAGATTGTGCATCACTGCAGCAGCAGCGTCAATAGCCAAACTATTTGCTTACAGGCGCACCTTGAAATAAAACATTGACTCATTTAGACACATCCTCATATCAGGAAGCCATTGACGACGTTCATTGCTTCGGCAACAACAAAAAAACCCGTGGGACCGGCTGGGCAAGCGCAGGTTTGCCGGGAGAGTTTTATTTTTTTTTACTTCCCTGTTGTTGCATTTTTTTAAATATAAATATATTATTATTATTATCACGTGGCAATGACGGCCGGGCCGTGATGTTCTTTCCCAGATATGTAAAACATTTTTTTTTTACAACTGCATAGCTGGCAAACTCCTTATCAGTGCCTCCTACCTTATTACAGACCAACTCAGACCTTATTGGTCAACCCCGTGCCCCCTTTATAAATCTCAAAGTTCGTCCTGCACAAAGTCACCGTCACAAGGGAGGGACACAAGCAAATAGACAAAAACTAAATGCTTGCCCCGTATTGAAACGTACAAGAATACGGGGGTAAACAGCATGGGTTGTGACGGGTGATATAAAATAAAAATAAACTCCGTCTCTTTACGACTGTCTGTGACCCCCGGGCGACTTTATGGCGACGCTCAGGTTGGATTCTGATGACATTTTGCCTTCGGTGCGGTGGTTTGCGGGAGGTTTCAAGATACTAACATGAGCATTGCCTAATCAAGTTTTCGCGCCGGGAGACCCAACCGAACCGGCGACCCCTCGGGTTAAATTTACCTCGGCGGTGAAGTCACCTCGGAGGTAAATGCACCTCGTTCCAAACAAGTGTTTCGGCCCAATCCACGACTCCGAAGCAGGTTGCGGTTTGGGGCTAACGCCACGTTTATTAGGGGCTTACGTCAAAGTGTGTTAGGGGCTTACGCCAAGTGTGTTAGGGGCTTACGTCAAAGTGTGTTAGGGGCTTACGTCAAAGTGTGTTAGGGGCTTACGTCAAAGTGTGTTAGGGGCTTACGTCAAAGTGTGTTAGGGGCTTACGCCAAAGTGTGTTAGGGGCTTACACCACAGTGTGTTAGGGGCTTACACCACAGTGTGTTAGGGGCTTACACCAAAGTGTGTTAGGGGCTTACGCCAAAGTGTGTTAGGGGCTTACGCCAAAGTGTGTTAGGGGCTTACGTCAAAGTGTGTTAGGGGCTTACGCCAAAGTGTGTTAGGGGCTTACACCACAGTGTGTTAGGGGCTTACACCACAGTGTGTTAGGGGCTTACACCAAAGTGTGTTAGGGGCTTACGCCAAAGTGTGTTAGGGGCTTACGCCAAAGTGTGTTAGGGGCTTACGCCACAGTGTGTTAGGGGCTTACGCCAAAGTGTGTTAGGGGCTTACGCCAAAGTGTGTTAGGGGCTTACACCACAGTGTGTTAGGGGCTTATGCCAAGTGTGTTAGGGGCTTACGCCAAAGTGTGTTAGGGGCTTACACTACGGTGTGTTAGGGGCTTACGCCAAAGTGTGTTAGGGGCTTACACCACGGTGTGTTAGGGGCTTATGTCAAAGTGTGTTAGGGGCTTACGTCAAAGTGTGTTAGGGGCTTACACCACAGTGTGTTAGGGGCTTACGTCAAAGTGTGTTAGGGGCTTACGTCAAAGTGTGTTAGGGGCTTACGTCAAAGTGTGTTAGGGGCTTACGCCAAAGTGTGTTAGGGGCTTACACCACAGTGTGTTAGGGGCTTACACCACAGTGTGTTAGGGGCTTACACCAAAGTGTGTTAGGGGCTTACGCCAAAGTGTGTTAGGGGCTTACGCCAAAGTGTGTTAGGGGCTTACGCCACAGTGTGTTAGGGGCTTACGCCAAAGTGTGTTAGGGGCTTACGCCAAAGTGTGTTAGGGGCTTACACCACAGTGTGTTAGGGGCTTACGCCAAGTGTGTTAGGGGCTTACGCCAAAGTGTGTTAGGGGCTTACACCACGGTGTGTTAGGGGCTTACGTCAAAGTGTGTTAGGGGCTTACGTCAAAGTGTGTTAGGGGCTTACACCACAGTGTGTTAGGGGCTTACGTCAAAGTGTGTTAGGGGCTTACGTCAAAGTGTGTTAGGGGCTTACGTCAAAGTGTGTTAGGGGCTTACACCACAGTGTGTTAGGGGCTTACGCCAAAGTGTGTTAGGGGCTTACGTCAAAGTGTGTTAGGGGCTTATGTCAAAGTGTGTTAGGGGCTTACGCCAAGTGTGTTAGGGGCTTACGTCAAAGTGTGTTAGGGGCTTACGCCAAAGTGTGTTAGGGGCTTACACCACAGTGTGTTAGGGGCTTACACCACGGTGTGTTAGGGGCTTACGTCAAAGTGTGTTAGGGGCTTACGTCAAAGTGTGTTAGGGGCTTACACCACAGTGTGTTAGGGGCTTATGTCAAAGTGTGTTAGGGGCTTACGTCAAAGTGTGTTAGGGGCTTACGTCAAAGTGTGTTAGGGGCTTACACCACAGTGTGTTAGGGGCTTACGCCAAAGTGTGTTAGGGGCTTACGTCAAAGTGTGTTAGGGGCTTACGTCAAAGTGTGTTAGGGGCTTACGCCAGAGTGTGTTAGGGGCTTACACCACAGTGTGTTAGGGGCTTACACCACGGTGTGTTAGGGGCTTACGTCAAAGTGTGTTAGGGGCTTATGTCAAAGTGTGTTAGGGGCTTACACCACAGTGTGTTAGGGGCTTACACCACAGTGTGTTAGGGGCTTACACCACAGTGTGTTAGGGGCTTACACCACAGTGTGTTAGGGGCTTACGTCAAAGTGTGTTAGGGGCTTACGTCAAAGTGTGTTAGGGGCTTACACCACAGTGTGTTAGGGGCTTACACCACAGTGTGTTAGGGGCTTACACCACAGTGTGTTAGGGGCTTACGTCAAAGTGTGTTAGGGGCTTACGTCAAAGTGTGTTAGGGGCTTACACCACAGTGTGTTCAGGGCTTACACCACAGTGTGTTAGGGGCTTATGTCAAAGTGTGTTAGGGGCTTACGTCAAAGTGTGTTAGGGGCTTACACCACAGTGTGTTCGGGGCTTACACCACAGTGTGTTAGGGGCTTACGTCAAAGTGTGTTAGGGGCTTACGTCAAAGTGTGTTAGGGGCTTACGCCAAAGTGTGTTAGGGGCTTACGCCAAAGTGTGTTGGGGGCTTACACCACAGTGTGTTAGGGGCTTACACCACAGTGTGTTAGGGGCTTACGTCAAAGTGTGTTAGGGGCTTACGTAAAAGTGTGTTAGGGGCTTACGTCAAAGTGTGTTAGGGGCTTACGTCAAAGTGTGTTAGGGGCTTACGTCAAAGTGTGTTAGGGGCTTATGTCAAAGTGTGTTAGGGGCTTACTTCAAAGTGTGTTAGGGGCTTACGCCAAAGTGTGTTAGGGGCTTATGCCACAGTGTGTTAGGGGCTTACGCCAAAGTGTGTTAGGGGCTTACGCCAAAGTGTGTTAGGGGGTTATGCCAAAGTGTGTTAGGGGCTTACGCCAAAGTGTGTTAGGGGCTTACGCCAAAGTGTGTTAGGGGGTTATGCCAAAGTGTGTTAGGGGCTTACACCACAGTGTGTTAGGGGCTTACGTCAAAGTGTGTTAGGGGGTTATGCCAAAGTGTGTTAGGGGCTTACACCACAGTGTGTTAGGGGCTTACGCCAAAGTGTGTTAGGGGCTTATGCCAAATCTGTTAGGGGCTTACGTCAAAGTGTGTTAGGGGCTTACGCCAAAGTGTGTTAGGGGCTTACGTCAAAGTGTGTTAGGGGCTTACGTCAAAGTGTGTTAGGGGCTTACGTCAAAGTGTGTTAGGGGCTTACGCCAAAGTGTGTTAGGGGCTTATGCCACAGTGTTAGGGGCTTACGCCAAAGTGTGTTAGGGGCTTACGCCAAAGTGTGTTAGGGGGTTATGCCAAAGTGTGTTAGGGGCTTACGCCAAAGTGTGTTAGGGGCTTACGCCAAAGTGTGTTAGGGGGTTATGCCAAAGTGTGTTAGGGGCTTACACCACAGTGTGTTAGGGGCTTACGTCAAAGTGTGTTAGGGGCTTACGCCAAAGTGTGTTAGGGGCTTATGCCAAATGTGTTAGGGGCTTATGTCAAAGTGTGTTAGGGGCTTACGCCAAAGTGTGTTAGGGGCTTACGTCAAAGTGTGTTAGGGGCTTACGTCAAAGTGTGTTAGGGGCTTACGCCAAAGTGTGTTAGGGGCTTATGCCAAATGTGTTAGGGGCTTACGCCAAAGTGTGTTAGGGGCTTACGTCAAAGTGTGTTAGGGGCTTACGTCAAAGTGTGTTAGGGGCTTACGTCAAAGTGTGTTAGGGGCTTACGCCAACCCACCCCCCTAGCCGATAACTCCCCAGGAGACAGGGTACCAGGATCCCTACAACCCCAGCTAACTCCCCAGGGGACAGGGTACCAGGATCCCTACAACCCCGGCTAACTCCCCAGGGAACAGGGTACCAGGATCCCTACAACCCCGGCTAACTTCCCAGGGAACAGGGTACCAGGATCCCTACAACCCCGGCTAACTCCCCAGGGAACAGGGTACCAGGATCCCTACAACCCCAGCTAACTCCCCAGGGGTACCAGGATCCCTACAACCCCGGCTAACTCCCCAGGGAACAGGGTACCAGGATCCCTACAACCCCGGCTAACTCCCCAGGGAACAGGGTACCAGGATCCCTACAACCCCGGCTAACTCGGCTCTCCTCCCTGCCCCGGGCCGGGACTACCCCAACCTCGGCCGGTCGGGCGGAGAAGCCTCCCCTAGCCCCGGGTGAGGATCAGCTCCCCTGAGTCCCCACTCCCACGCCCCCGACGAACCCCCCGTTACATCCCGGGTCCCCCTTTAAATACCCCCCTGGGGCATGACGTCACCGTCCCCCCAGGGTCCGCCTGACGTCACGTTCTGCGACGCCACTCTCTCCGAGGGCGAGCGTGACGTGACGTCACCCACTACTCCCCTACACATGAATAATTTGGCGGGACCCTGGGGTCCCGCAAAAATCAGGTCAATAATTATTATTTTTCAGTCCGCCCCACTACGTGATCCTGACAGCAACGCGCCGCCCGCCCAGACTCGCACCAACAAGCGCCAGCAGCAGCAGCAGGCGGCGATCAACACGATGGGCGCCACCCCACCGGCCAAACGAAAGCCCCGGGGGGCGTCAGCCGCAGTCGCGCGCGGCGACGACGATGCCCTCCGGTCAGCCGTCGATCCTCGGCTCCTTTGCCAAGGCGAGCCCGCCGCCCCCGCAGTGAATTTAACGTGTTTGTGTAATTTTTCAACTTTTTACGAAACTAGTTTTGTTGTTGGTAAGGCAAGACTCGTGTCGCTATGCGGTTTTTCCTACTCCGGGGCAGTGATGGGACCCGGGGTCCCGCCAATTGCTTCACATGTACACAAATGTACGTCATTGCAAAAAAAAATGTACGGAGTAAAATGTTCCTCATACCAAAAAATTAAAAAAAACATTACCTCAGAGACATTTTTTTTCCTCCGGAGTAAATTCACCACCGAGGAATTTTGACCTCGGAGGAATTTTTACCTCCGTGTCAGTTTGCTACAGTGAATTCACCTCGGAGTAAATTTACTTCAGAGAAACTTTATCTCAGATAAACTTTACCCTCAGAGTCAATTCACCTCAGTAAAATCACGTCCGGAGTAAGTTTACTTCAGATAAACTTTACCTCAGAGTCAATTCACCTCAGTAAAATTTACCTCGTGGTAACTTCGCCTCAAAGAAACTTTACCTCAGATACATTTTACCTCAGAGTCAATTCACCTCAGTAAAATCACCTCCGGAGTAAATTTACTTCAGAGAAACTCTACCTCGGAGAAACTTTACCTCAGAGTTAATTCACCTTTAGTAAAATAATCTCCGGAGTAAGTTTACTTCAGGGAAACTTTACCTCGGAGTCAATTCACCTCAGACCAAAGGGTAACTTTACCTCAGGATAATATCACCACGAATAACAAAAAACCCACCTCAGAGTAACTTTACCTCAGTTTCACAATGCCCACCCAAGTCCCCGAGACATATTCGCAGATAAACATTTGCACCTTGAGCACACCTGCACAGCCCTTTGTTGACCCACTGCTCGATGAGGGCCTATCCACTATGGGTAGATTGTAGTGGGGGGCCCTTTGACCATACTTCGCCACGCTGGTGTGGTGCGTGTTGGTGAAGGTGGGCGGCATAGACGCTAGGGTGTAGAAAGTGCGGTACAACAATGGATTTGTGAACTTCCCGCCACTGCCCACCGCGTCGTTGTATGACCCCGCAGCAGCCTATAGCACCTGTTACGCATGGCGGTCGCCCATCCAAGCAACTATCCACTGTCAAATGCTGCTTTGCTTTCACGACACCTTAAATTGCAACCCAAGTACAGCAGTTAAGTCGGAGTGATGAGTTCCTGCTCAAAATGAGCAATGAGATTGTTCCTAGTCTCCTCTCTTCAAGGTCAGCGGTGGAAATTCCACATTCCTACGGCGAGGGCGAGGCATTCACGAGGACAGCCACCGTTTGACTTCTCCCACGAACGGTCACTCGCGACGATGGTGATAACGGCGTGGGGGAGGCCGGCATCCAGCAGTGTATTGGCCACGGCTGATGATGAGCACGTGTTTTCTTGGCGGGGCGAGTCTTAACTTTCCCGGGAGCGTCTTAGAATTGTAGCGACATCGCTGGATGTGACCATGCTTTGGGTGCAGTACCGGCCCTAAAGGGGCACGGTGCGCGGTGTAGCGACATCGCCGGATACCACTATGTTGTGGGTGTAGTACCGGCCCTAGAGGGGCACGGTGTAGCGACATCGCCGGATACCACTATGTTGTGGGTGTAGTACCGGCCCTAAAGGGGCACGGTGCGCGGTGTAGCGACATCGCCGGATACCACAATGTTGTGGGTGTAGTACCGACCCTAGAGGGGCACGGTGTAGCGACATCGCCGGATACCACTATGATGTGGGTGTAGTACCGACCCTAGAGGGGCACGGTGTAGCGACATCGCCGGATACCACTATGTTGTGGGTGTAGTACCGGCCCTAAAGGGGCACGGTGCGCGGTGTAGCGACATCGCCGGATACCACAATGTTGTGGGTGTAGTACCGACCCTAGAGGGGCACGGTGTAGCGACATCGCCGGATACCACTATGATGTGGGTGTAGTACCGACCCTAGAGGGGCACGGTGTAGCGACATCGCCGGATACCACTATGGTGTGGGTGTAGTACCGACCCTAGAGGGGCACGGTGTAGCGACATCGCCGGATACCACTATGTTGTGGGTGTAGTACCGGCCCTAGAGGGGCACGGTGTAGCGACATCGCCGGATACCACCATGATGTGGGTGTAGTACCGACCCTAGAGGGGCACGGTGTAGCGACATCGCCGGATACCACTATGTTGTGGGTGTAGTACCGGCCCTAGAGGGGCACGGTGTAGCGACATCGCCGGATACCACTATGGTGTGGGTGTAGTACCGGCCCTAAAGGGGCACGGTGCACGGTGTAGCGACATCGCCGGATACCACTATGTTGTGGGTGTAGCACCGGCCCTAAAGGGGCACGGTGCACGGTGTAGCGACATCGCCGGATACCACTATGGTGTGGGTGTAGTACCGGCCCTAAAGGGGCACGGTGTGCGGTGTAGCGACATCGCCGGATACCACTATGATGTGGGTGTAGTACCGGCCCTAGAGGGCAGGGTGCGCGCTGAATAATAGCGCTGGATGGCACCACGCTTTAAGTGCAGTGCCGACTCTACAGGACAGGGTGTGTGGGTGCCGACAGAAGGATAGGGTTGTGTGAGGCGATGGCACGTGACCGGTTAAGTTGACAGAAGGGCCCCAAGAGGGGGCTAAGGGGGTCACGTGATTGGGATCCAGATCCTTTCCGAGGATTCTAGAAGGTGGATGTGGCCAAGGGCGGAGCCAGCCATGCCAGAGAGATAAGCCGGGTTCCCGGGAGGGACCGGAGTTGTTGTTCATCCTGGAAGAAACTCTTCGTCTGCGATCTCCATTCAACGAGTCTCCAACACGTGAACCTGGGCCAAAGTCATTGGTCCTGGTCCGTAGTAGAAGTTACGTATTAGCTAGTGTAGTAGCTAGTGTAGTAGCTAGTGTAGTAGCTAGTGTAGTAACTAGTGTAGTAGCTAGTGTAGTAACTAGTGTAGTAGCTAGTGTAGTAACTAGTGTAGTAGCTAGTGTAGTAGCAGTTACGTAGTAACTATTGTAGTAGCTAGTGTAGTAGCTAGTGTAGTAGCTAGTGTAGTAGCTAGTGTAGTAGCTAGTGTAGTAGCTAGTGTAGTAACTAGTGCAGTAGCTAGTGTAGTAACTAGTGTAGTAGCTAGTGTAGTAACTAGTGTAGTAGCTAGTGTAGTAGCAGTTACGTAGTAACTATTGTAGTAACTAGTGTAGTAGCTAGTGTAGTAACTAGTATAGTGTAGTAACTAGTGCAGTTAGCCGGGTGGTCACCACCTTAGGTTGTTATTCTGTTAAGGGGAAGTTACCCCTGTGTTGGAACTGAATGAATGTGTTGCCTCCAAAGTCTACGTCTGCGACTCAGTTGAACCCATTACAGAATGATAGTTTTGAAAAGTTGCGTTTTTTTGGATGTTTTAGTTTAATTCCGATGGTATGCGCGGTGACACTAATGATCTCGCGGGCAGTTGTTCACGGGAGCGTCTTAGAATTATAATTTCAAAAAGGTTAGTTTTATATTCTTGGTTCTTTCGGTAAAGTCACGTAGAAGGGAAACAATAAAATAATAAAAATATAAAACAACAATAATAATATTTTTATTATTTTATTGTCCCCCTTCTACGTGGCGACTTTACCGAAAGAACCAAGAATGTGAAACCCCTGCAGTTACGAAAGCTATAAATCAAAATTTAAGGTTAGCTTTAGTTTAATCCCGACGATACGGCAAAAAGAGTACGCGCGGTGACACCTTACTCACGTTCTTGCCGGGCAGTTGTTCATAGCCGCTGCGCATAGGGCAGCAGCAGCAGCACCACGAAGGGCAGCAGGAACAGCAGTTGCCCATGACGGCCCTGGGACGACACCTCGCTCTCTCACTTCACTGCTGCGTCCACGGAGACAGAGACGGGGGGGAAGGGGTGAACTCAGGGCCTCAGTGATGATTTCTTTTTCACTGCTAAACAATATATTCATAAAAAAAAGATTTTGTATTTTTACCGGGTAAGGCTTCCCCACCACCCCCCCCCCCCCACCCCCTCTCACAGCTGCTGTGTAAGAGCTCTTTATTGTTCAGAAGCGATGTGGATATCGCAAATGTTAGCTCAACGAAGTGGGCTTACCATCATCATCATCACCATCATCGTCACGCGGAAAATGTATAGCCGGAGCCAACATACTTTAAACGCGCGCTCAAGTGAGCATTGATGCAGTCCTGGTCTTCTACCGCCGTGCTCGTTGCAGCTCTAAACCAGATCCGGAAAGTCCACGTTCCCATGTCGAGGGCGAGTCCATCCACGGGACATGAAGTAGAACCTATTTTATCGACCCTCCCCGCACGATGTATGATGGGCTAAGTCAACCCCCCCCCCTCACCCAACTAATTTGAACCGTCAGGACTGTCAACCATTGAGTCTCCACCTATATACAGTAAATGTGTTACTCCATCAGCCTGGTCCAGTGGTTCTTCAACTTTCCTGCATAGTTGCATCCCTTTGGGTCTCAATTGTTTAAAATGTTTATAATGTGAATGAAACAAAGTAACTTGTACCTTACGTGCCCGTGCCCGTGCTTAATTTTGTGTTTTCAATTATTTACCTTCGAAAAACTAAAATCTGGCCATGTCTCAAACCCCCGCAAAAGGGAATCTCGCACCCCCCAGGAGGAGGTGGTGCGTGCACCCCCAGGGGGTGGTGGTGCGTGCACCCCCAGGGGGTGGTGGTGGTGCGCCCTAAGGGATGGTGGTGGTGCGTGCACCCCCCAGGGGGTGGTGGTGCGTGCACCCCCAGGGGGTGGTGGTGCGTGCACCCCCAGGAGGAGGTGGTGCGTGCACCCCCAGGGGGTGGTGGTGCACTCCCAGGGGGTGGTGGTGCACCCCCAGGGGGTGGTGGTGCGTGCACCCCCCAGGGTGGTGGTGGTGCGTGCACCCCCAGGAGGAGGTGGTGCACGCACCACCCCCAGGAGGTGGTGGTGCGTGCACCCCCAGGGGGTGGTGGTGCACTCCCAGGGGGTGGTGGTGCACCCCCAGGGGGTGGTGGTGCGTGCACCCCCCAGGGTGGTGGTGGTGCGTGCACCCCCAGGAGGAGGTGGTGCACGCACCACCCCCAGGAGGTGGTGGTGCGTGCACCCCCAGGGGGTGGTGGTGCACCCCCAGGGGGTGGTGGTGCGTGCACCCCCCAGGTTAAGAACAAGAACCAGTGGCCCGGTAGCCTTCCACGCCGGTTTAAACCTTCCGCTCCGGTCAGCGTGGAATGTCTGAGGACACCCGCTGGGCCGACGCTTCCAAGCACATTGCAACGTTGGCTCAACGTCGGTATGCTCACTGGGCAATAGTGTGCCGGTTGTTAAATAAGTAAACATAAATCAATACTCATGTATGGTGCTGTACACACACTCATTATGCTCCACGGCAAACACAAACACGCGTATAAGTAGTCCGTTGTTCCGGTGTAAGCACAAGGAGAGAGGGAAGGATGCAATCAGCTCGCGTGCAGGCGCTCAGTGCATGATCGTTAACATCACGTTATCGTGAAGAGGTGGCGGCGGATTTGGAAATTGACCGTGGCTGATGATGGCGTGGGGAGGCCTCCATCCAGCAGTGGAGTGACCGTGGCTGATGATTATGGTGACGGTGACAATGGTGACGAATAAAATCCCCGAATCGCACGCACACACAGAGAGCCGGAGTGACCCATCGGGCAATCAATCACTGAGCGGCGTTCAGCGCGCACGCAAATGAGCAAAAACACAGAAGCACCCTTAACCACCGCGTTCATTACTTCGCAGACCACGAACACTTTCGTTCGCACAGACCGAGAGAGTGGTAGATGGAGAGAGCGACATGGAGTAGGAAAAGAGGGGGTAGAGAGAGAGAGAGAGGGGGGGCAGAGAGAGGGGTAGAGAGAGAGAGGGACGGGGTAAGGAGAGCAGACCGATAATTTTTTTTATTTAAAGCTTTCGTGACTGCAGTAACTCATGTTCTTAGTTCTTTCGGTAAAGTCACGTTGAAGGGAAACAACAAAATAATAACGTGACTTTACCGTGACTTTACCGAAAGAACTAATATTATGAGAATTTTTTTGTTAAATCTTTCATTTAAAAAGGGGGTGGGGTTACATAAAGCAAAGCATTAAAAAAAATGATGAACGAAGCAAAGAGCCGACTACACCGAGCATCTTCTTGTTTCCTCTGATCGTGAAAAAAAAGGAGATGGAGAGAGAGAGATGGAGAGAGGGAGAGATACTTTTGACTTTTTAAACAACTTTTATTGCTGCCAGGAGCAACAGCACTGGAAGCAATTCCGATATGAAACACACAAAGTCACCGGCAAAACAAATAACACAAACCTCTATAAACCCACGCGCTGTGGCGCTAAATGCACCGCGCACAACACGAAATAAAAGTCACGTGGTGGTGGTGTTCATCGCGCGCGCCACGGTGACGAGCGAGCGCTTCAGAAGGTGATCACGAGGAGGGTGCCGTCCACGCCGGTACAGAGATTGTGGGTGATCTAGAGGTAGATAGAGAGATGGAGAGGTAGAGAGAGAGAGATGGAGAGAGATGGAGAGAGAGTTTCTCACCTGCAGCCCGACACCACGGAGGACTTGCGCGTGTGCCCGACTGCAAGGTAAGGCGAGTTGGGCACCTCTCTCTCTCTCACTCTCTCACTCACACTTCACAGAGCTGATGTCAGCTGGGCGGCTCGTGACATCGCGGGGGGTGTTGGGGGGAGGGAGGATGAGGGGGGGGGGAGGAAGCATGAGGGGTTCGGGAGAAGTGGTTAGGAGTGTGGGCGCAGTGGCGTGGTGTCTACATTATCAGCTCGGGGGGGGGGTTGGGTCCGCAATCGCCCAGGTGGGGCCCCAACCGTGCGAATTGTCTCGAACGGTCGCACTCAGAGGCGATTCCGTCTCGCGGCCTTCTCTTGCCCCCCACCCCCCCTAATGGCATCGTCGGTGCGCTCACGGCCTCGAACGTGTAACGCAAAACGTCGGTGGACGCTGCTGTTGAAAATTCACGATGTAACACGATTTTTGGTTTCTGGGTAGTAAGTGCTATTGTCTAATTGCTCATGCCTCAAAAGTATATAAAATGGCTATTATTATTATTATTATTCACGCACAAACTTTGCTTTTGTGGCCAGGACTTTACGTGAAGGAATGACGCAAATGCACACCGCGTTTTCTCATTGACAATAGGCACATTTCAAAATATCAATGTCCTGGTCACAAAAGCAAAGTTTTTGGGTGGAATAATAGCCCATTTTACATACTTTTGAGGCATGAGCAATTAGGAAATAACACTTACTACCCAGGAACACATTTTTGTTTGTTACGCAGTGAAATATATCTCATGGTTCATAATATTTTCATGGTAGTTGTCAAAGGGGGGCCCAGCTCGTAGCTTTAGCCACAAGGGGGAGGGTGGAGGAGAGTAGTGGGGGTGGGGGGGGCACACAGTGTCGCCCACAAAGTCCCCTTAGCAGGATGGGGCACCGGGACATGCTTTGAATCAGAATTTTAGGAGAGGATCCGAACTGATGTGGACCGCCCCCGTAAGCCCAGACCTGGCAGCAGCAACAACAACATCATCATCGTCATCACCATCAACGACATCCACAGCATCACGTGACGATCCCCTTCGGAGGAACTTAAACGTAAAAAGCGCACCTTTTACTTCAAAGTTCCACAAAATATCGCGGAAATCCAAAAAGATACGCAGCTGCGGCGAAAACCGCTGCTGGAGTTTGTGCAGCCACCGTCGACTTTGGAGGAGTCTGCGGAAGGGAGGGGGCAGGATCGAGGTTTGTACCTGGGTAAGGGTCCAGGGCCGCGTAAAAAAACCCCCACAAAAAACCCCCACAAAAAACCCCGAAATGATGAACGAATCAAAGTGGCGACTACACCGAGCGCCTTCTTGTTTCCTCTTGTAAAAAAAAACACAAAACGAGAGTGTGGGGGAGAGCAGCACGCGGAGTTGGTCGAAAAAAGAAAGGGAGAGAGAGGGAGAGGGATAGAGAGAGAGAGAAATATATAATATTATTACAAATATTATATAGAAAACATAGGGGGCGGGGAACATAGACATGGAGTAGGGGGAGAGGGGGTAGAGAGAGAGGGGGTAGAGAGAGAGAGAGGGAAGGGGTAAGAAGAGCAGAGCGTGAAATCTCTCGTGAATGAAACGAAATGATGAACGAAGCACAGTGCCGACTACACCGAGGATCTTCTTGCTTCCTCTGGTCGTGAAAAAAAAGGAGAGAAAAAGAGAGAGGGAGGGGGGGGTACAAGATCTATCTTGCTTTGTGTCACGCAAAGGAACTTTGTGAACACCCTAAACGGTTCCTGGGCGGTTCGTGATATTAATTGTAAGGGGTGGGGCTGAGGGGGGGGGATGTGTGGGAAGTTACGGGGGGAGGAGGAGGGGGGGTTGGTATTTACCTGCACGGCGCGTGACTAAAGGAGTGGGTGGGGAGGGGTGCGTGGGTAGTGGGTGGGGGAGGGTTAGGGAATTTACCTGCACGGCGCGTGACGTTTGGGGGGGGGGGGGCGGGAAGGAGGGGGGTGGTGGGTGAGGTAAGGTGAGAAAGGAACTCACCTGCAGAGCGCGTGACACGAATATCCACGCATCACCCACTAACCCCCGCCACACGGAAAGCCTAAAACACCTGTTTCACACGGAGTAGTCGCTCCATCCAAGCTCAATATCCTGCTCTGCTCGCGAATATCACAATTTTTTATTTACACCGGAGGATGAGGAATCCGATGAGCTAGGAAGCTCTTTGTTTTTTTTACACACGGACGACCAGTAGGGGGCAACGGGGATCAGTCTTTACCACAACAACACGCACGATAGGAGGGTGCAAAGTTCAGCAAGGGTAAATAAAAATGTACAGACACATCTCGCAATCATAGGTGGAGTTTGACTTCTATATTTGTGGAGGTGGTGGGCGGGCAGGGGTTCGCTTTCCCCCCTCACATTAGGAAATTGGGGCGGGGGGGAGGTGTATATGATGAATTTTTAAATCTTACCTGTGTAATGACAGTAGAGTCAACCTGCGGTGTGAGTGGACTAGTGGCCACGGGAGGTAATGACAGGGGAGTCAGCCTGCAGTACGAGTGGACTCGTGACCATGGGAGGTAATGACAGGGGAGTCAGCCTGTAGTGCGAGTGGACTAGTGGCCACGGGAGGTAATAACAGGGGGAGTCAGCCTGCAGTGTGAGTGGACTCGTGACCACGGGAGGTAATGACAGGGGAGTCAGCCTGTAGTGCGAGTGGACTAGTGGCCACGGGAGGTAATGACAGAAGAGTCAGCCTGCAGTGCGAATGAACTAGTGGCCACGGGAGGTAATGACAGGGGGAGTCAGCCTACAGTGTGAGTGGACTGGTGGCCACGGGAGGTAATGACAGGGGAGTCAGCCTACAGTGCGAGTGGACTGGTGGCCACGGGAGGTAATGACGGGGGAGTCAACCCGCAGTGCGAATGGACTAATGGCCACGGGAGATGACAGGGGAGTCAGCCTACAGTGCGAATGGACTGGTGGCTACGGGAATGATCGAGAATTGGAGCGTGGCCAGGTGACGGAAGAGGACGGTCGAGTCTGCTGGGGAGCGAGCGTTCTAGAGTCAGTGAGAAGGTTCGGAAAGGGGGGCGTGGCCTCGGTCCGTATAAAAGGGAGATGCGTGGGAGACTCGGGGCTGTTGCAGTGGGGGTCTCTGCCTGTTCGAGTGAACGTGTCTCTCTACAATAAAGACACCATCTCAAGACTAAGTTCAAGTTTCATTTATTAGGTACTAGCTTAACTACCGGGCTTTGCCCGGGACTTTGATTCACCACGCCCGGCCACCTTTGTCTCCCCAATGGCGATGTTAACACACCACACCAGTTATGTGTTTGAGGCTGAGTCGACTTAGGGGAGGCCCAGGACCGGTAAAAATGATCGTGACCGGTGGTGGCCGTGAGCGTAAATCGAACTCGGCTCGCCGGGTTCGTAGCGCAGCGCGCTAACCGCTACACTACAATGCGTTACACTTCCACACACACAGACACACACAGATACACACACACAGACACACACAAACACACCCACAGATACACACACACACAGATACACACAGATACACACACACAGACACACACACAGACACACAGATACACACAAACACACAGACACAGATACACACAAAACACACAGACACACACACACAGATACACACACACACACAGCGCGCTAACCACTACACTACAATGCGTTACACTTCCATGTGTGCGGGTCACGTGACAGATTTGACGTCACAGCTCACTTGCAGTGCAAAAAATATATGCAGTATTGAGCTCTCCCCCCAGCCCCCAAAAAAACAAAAGCATATTTTTTAATTTTTGCATGGTGTACAGTCTGGAAAGTACCCACATGGCAAATTTCAAGTTTGTTGCATGTCGGGAAGTACGCTAAACATTTTGAACAGACAACACATAATCACAACTTTGCCTTTTATATATATGGAGATAGCCCTGTGAGCCACGCGGCTCATGAATCGGGTGCAATCGCAACAAAACAAAAACACGTACAAGAAAAACATCTTAAAGTGACTACGCGCAACAGGTCATCATCGCACCTGTAAATTACTGAAAATAAATTAATGAAGGTGTCCATTTCGAGCGGGGCGTTACACCCCTCCCCGTCCTTCTCCCCACCATGGTCACAATGAAGCCTCCAGAACACGATGTAAGGGGAAGTGTCGCGACTTTCACGTCTCGTTAGATTCACCAGATGAGCTCGATACACCGCCGTGAGTTTCATTTCGCAAGGGCGACCCCGCCTGGGTCACCAGCGTTTTACAAATGTAGTGTTTGTAAAGACGAATAAACTTCTTACGAGGCACGCTCTGTTAATTGTAATTCTTCTCTTACACAGTCCTTAATACACGGAGGGGTATATGGTCCCCTCACCCGATACCTAAGGAGGAACAGCCTCCGGACTCAGCATAACCTACACACAGGTCTCCTTGATACCTAAGGAGGTACAGCCTCCTATCTTGGCGAGACTTACACGTCTACCGCTATTCTAGAGTCCTCTGGCTGGGACCTAGGGGAGGCTATCTGACCCACCGCTGGCCCGGTGGGTCCTGACCACTGGATACGCCGAGCCTTAGCCCTGAGAAGGGCTGGAAGGTTGGGTCCAGGGTCCTGGCTATCTTCAGCCCGGGCTTCGGTCTTCGTGTAGGGAGAGAACTCCCCGTGCTCTGCGCGGTCACCCTTCTTATACTCGTTTGTGGCCAGGTATAACCAATCACACATTCCCACGTGGAACTTTCTGATTGGTTCTTACCAAACCGTGGCTACGATCCACTTCACCTCGTCTGACCCCAACCGTTATGTACCCAGAGGTAACGCTGCACTGCCCCTTTGATACCTGGTGGCAATGCAGGTTACCGAAAAGTGCGTAGTTAACACCTCTACACTAACAAAAAGGGAATGTGAGGGAGTGAGAGGAGTGTGAGGGAGTGTTATGAGTGTGAGGGAGTGTGAGGAGTGTGAGGGAGTGAGAGGAGTGTGAGGAGTGTGAAGGAGTGAGAGGAGTGTGAAGGAGTGAGAGGAGTGTGAAGAGTGAGAGGGAGTGTGAGGGAGTGTGAGGAGTGTGAGGAGTGTGAGGGAGTGAGAGGAGTGTGAGGAGTGTGAGGGGTGAGAGGGAGTGAGAGGAGT